GTGTTATGAACTGTACTTTAGTGGAACCGAAATGTTAACGTGGTGAGATGACAATTGAAAGATATAAGGATAAGTGATGATATTGACGAGATTATTGAAAAAATTTTGTGTAAAATATACATTTTTGAATATGACTGTGATGTGGATGGTGATAAAGGCTGATGAAATGTTTCTCAAAAAAAAAACCTATTCGGTAATATTCAGCTGAGTTGTGATGACGAATTTGATGGAAAATGCGTGAAGAATGCAAAAATTCTGAAGAAAGTTATGCTGCAAATGATCTAATCGGAAGAACTGTCATCAGTGCTCCAATAGGCATTGATAATATTGTCACACAAAAAGTGCGTTTATTGGGCGATAAAATTTCGATTGATGCACGATCACTGAGTAAACACATCGGCAAGATAAGGCAGATATTATCATGATCACATGCAGTGATTTGCTACCCTCTCTGCCCACGAAGAAAACACCTTCTCGGATCATGCAGTGGAGAAGGCTGAACTTAAGTGCAACAGTATGATTCATTACTCGCTACTGATAATCACCATTGTCGTTGATAACACTGAGTAATGAACCGGTGATTCGAGCTCATTTTTTTTTGATTCATGCACTCATAATCGCTGTCATGAATGAGTTTGTCATTTATCTTAGTTGCATAAGCAGAAATGATAAAGATGCGATATTGGCCAAAAAAAAGCGCAAAAATGCCACCGGATAGGGAAGTGAAACTATCGTACGATTACGGGTAAGCACGAACGTAAACAGCAACCAATTCGTTGTATTTGTACCTCAGCTCGCAACTTGGCAACTAATATCAATCCATATTCGTTGTAATTGTAACCAGTCCTCCTCGCTCACTAACCAGTTATTTACTTGAATTTATGAATTGCTTCAAACGTTTACATGCGCATCATACACATCTATGATGGTCATAAATCCAACTCACTCAACACTCTTTAAGAGAGTACAACTCCAGAGTGTCCGTCCGTACCTAAAGGTACCAAAGTGAACGCGCACTTTGGAGAGCTTATCTACGTTGGAAAGTTGAGTTTACGAGATATGAGATGGATTTCCTGACATTCACACAACATCTGCTATAGTGATATGATGCGATATGAGATGGAGAAAGCAATCATGAATATTCATCATTGAAGTGATTTTCGAAATGCCCACGTTGACTTTGTTGGCTTCATGAGAGCAACTTGAAGCTGAGAGACGCGAATACAATCAAATTATGGAATGAGGATGATGAGCGATTGTGATCTAACAGTAGGATTTCGGAGACGAGCAACTGAATAAGAACTTAGAGAACGATTGTGCAAGTGCAACTTCTCGACTGGCGATGAGCTTCACGATGATAATGGAAACCGAGATGAGTGCACCTGATTTATGATCATGTTTACCGCATTCAGTGTGCACACTTACCATGTTAGGCTCGTTTGAGGGCGTTGACGCACCACTTTCAATGAGATTCTCTAGAGCGAAACTCTTTCGTGGAGCGATTTCATCTGGTTGTTTAGTTGTGAACTTTTGATCACACTTCTTAACCATGTCAGTGGCATGATGAAACGTATCTGCAGCACTTGGAAGTCGTAGAATTGGTGTTCTGAAAGTGAATATGATGCATGGAATGGGTGCAGAAAACACTGAAAACGAGGAAGCATTTTTTTATAAGATGAAAGTTTTTGTTTTTTTTCGAAATTCATTTTAATAGATGAACAAGCAGCATCAATAATGTTCGCTCGTTTCATTTCCTGCACTCAGGAAACGGTCTCAGTGAATTTTTAATGACATTCAACAACTATTTGCACTTATTTGTGAACGGACTAGCAAATTGAGCACAATTTTATAAATCGTGTTCGATATACTGGATGAATAGTACAGATACACTGATGAATGCGCTCATGCAAGCACTTTAACATCATGAAGGATTTGAACATTACTCAACGAACTGAATGTTCTTTGAATTTCCGTCGCTTAGATTTGTAGTACATATTCGGATTTAGCATCAACATTAGTGCTGATGGCACTTTTTGATCAGTGCGAGAGTTGATTATGACTCGTTCAAAAAAAGTTTGAAAACGAGAAACTTGAAACATTTGTTCGAAAATGCAAAGTTGACTAAAATTGTTTGACAGACGCGTTTAGCCAATTCAGCGATAAAAACTACTGAAGGAATAATTAATCGACGTGTCGTTGGAAGGAATAATTAATCGATGGGTCGTTTAAGCGTGAAATAGGGAACTAAAAGAGAATGTTTGCTATCTGTTTTCGATTGGCTTGATGGGAAAATGTGTTTTTGTTTGAATGAATTCATCGATCAAATGTAATAAATGAGCAACGTGAATGATTCACTCGTTGAATCGGTTTTATTTGTGAGAATATTAATAAGTGAGCGTTTGATGCTTACTTATAAATGATTTATGCACTTAAATTCAGTTCTGGCAACGTTACTTGCAAACACCCTTCAAATGTTACCCTTCCCACATCAGAAGTCAGGCATTGTTGTGTGTGTTATTAGGATGTCGAAGTGAACGCGTGTTTTTATGCTCGCAACGAATCAATTCTCAAATTTCAGCTCTACTCGCTGATGGCTATCAGTTTGTACTTTACTAGAAACTATCTATATGGGCTACTGAGAACCACTTCCCTTGCACTGCATTATTGGGATGCTGCACTTTAACGAAGTTGATAAAGAATTCAAGCAATTTTTCATATTTGACAGCAGCATGATTGGCGAACTCTTTTTTGGATTATAAGTTGATCAGTGAATGATGATGAGAGCAAAAACTGAGACATTTCTAATGCAATTGAAGAAAACCATATCGCGATTGAAGCATTATAACAGAAATACTTCGCGATAGTGTAGCTAGAGTCTGAGTTGAGTGGAAATAAAACTCAGTCCAAGCCTTATCTTGAACTCAATTAAGATGGGTCNGAAGCTTCAAATTCTGACAGCTATACTTTTGGCTCACTGAACCACTGGAATAATCAAGGAAGAGAGCCGCAAAACGTTGGAGCCACGTAAATGTTGTAAAAAACATATGAAAATTGGGACCAACCTTACAAAAGCACTCGGAATATCGTCATCGTGCATGATTGTGTTGTGCGATTTGGTTGGACTGTAGAGTGGCGATACTGACTGATTGTCATAGCAACGAGCATAACGTAGTTGGTCTGGGGAATGAAGATTTTGAATTGGATTATGATTCAGATTGTGATCGTTGTACTGATTAATATGCTGCAGAAAATGATGGTGGTGATGATGATAGTTACGATGATCAAGTGTGGCAATGTGAAGTTGTTGAGCTACGCTTATGATGCTACCGTCAACACCATTTAAGATGTACGGTGCAGGCGATATCATATTGCTTTTATTGCTGTTGATTAGCACTCGACTGCCTCTTGCTTCTGTCAATTGCTTTGGTTTTATGGATAATGCTTGCTTTCAGGTGTTCGAGCCTTCAAGTGAATATAGGTGATGATGAATAATGAGTGAACTTCTCCAAACTGCAAAAGAGAATTGATCGTTTATTAAATTAGATGAGGATGTAATCAATTGAGCACGCGATAGATCTGCGATTCACGTTTTTAAGTTGTTAAGTGACGATCATTGATTATGATGAATTATAAAAGAAAATAAAACAAATGAACAATGGGAATTCTCAGCGTGAGACAATGATTGCCACTCAACAGCTATTCGTGAGTTGCTGCAGTTATCTGGTGAGCTTCTGGGAACTTTGATTTCCGGAACATTCGCTAACATTCAAGAATTCCTCAATCGATGTTTATTGCAAATGAAAATTTTTGTTGGGAGTCTATTACACGTTGGTGAACCAATTAATAAATAATACTCGAAAATGTCACTTGAGAACAACACTGATCAGTGTCCTCATTTAGTGAGGCACAAATTGACGCTAAAGCAATACGGTATGAAACTGAGAGAGTCGCGTGAGAATTTGTTGAAAAGTAAGCGATTGAACGAAGACATTAAGCCTACACGATGAAAGAACGGAAGCACTCGGCTGAGGCATGATGAAGCGTTATCTCATCATTTCATTAAATCGGACTATCCAGTAAAAGTGGAATGTTATTAAAGTGAGATTTCTCGAGAATTCCAGATATTTTCGATATTATCCAGTGACATTTTTTGAGAGTTTTCGACAACGTTTGGAAAGTTCAAAAAATAATTCACATACTCTTATCAGTTGCGTTGCACAATGATGAAAGCAAAACGGTGAGCTGGTAGGGTTTCCTTACCAGATTCCTCACACAAAAACAACATATGAAGCCAATTCAAGCATTTCTAGCCTTAATTAGTGATGAGAAAATTTATTAACACAAATGAAGACGACAGGTATGAGAGGAGCAATAAATAAAAAACTGGAACTTTTGACAAAATTGCTTCAATTTGATGATGAGGCTAGAAAGCTTTTCGAGTGGAAGTTTTTGTGTAAAGAGCACATCAAATAAGATGGGCTTGTTTT